ATAACGCAGCATAGCACAGCATAGCATAGCATAGCATAGCATAGCGCAGCATAGCATAGCATAGCATAGCGCAGCATAGCATGGCATAGCATAGCATAGCAACTAATGCTGCTTTCCTAGGGGCTCCAACTTCTAGGTAGGGTCGCACTGGGGTAATGTGTGTATGTACGTATATATGCATGAATGAATGGCTGTACGTATGAACGTCTGTATGTATTTTACGTACGTACGTACATATGTATGTATGCATGCATACTCCCTACCTAAGGTCTGCCTAGAAGGGCTCTTACTCTCTTGGCTTAAAGAGCCGGGCAGTGGGAACCGGCCCGGGCGGTTCCCCCAGTATCCGCCCCGCGGTTCCCCCAGTTACGTCCCCTTGGCTTAGCGCTGCTTATCTCATATTAGCTTAGCCCTCTTTCATCTTAGCTCAGGTTTATCTTAGCTTAGCTTACCTTCATCTTAGCTTCGCTGAGCTTTAGCATAGCAGAGCACAGCATAGCATAGCGCAGCATAGCATAGCGCAGCATAGCATAGCATAGCGCAGCATCGCATTCATAGCATAGCATAGCATAGCTTAGCTTAGCATAGCATAGCGCAGCTTAGCATAGCATAGCATAGCACAGCACAGCATGACATAGCATATCATAGCTTAGCATAGCATAGCATAACATAGCATAGCGCAGCATAGCATAGCATAGCATTGCATTGCATAGCGCAGCATAGCATGGCATAGCATAGCATAGCAACTAATGCTGCTTTCCTAGGGGCTCCAACTTCTAGGTAGGGGCGCACTGGGGTAATGTGTGTATGTACGTATATATGTATGAATGGATGACAACTCAATGCGGCGCCTGAAAGCTACTTCCGAGATGAATGTGTACCAAGCTGGTGCATGCAGTGGCTTAGCGGATACAGTTCATGAAGTGCTCCACCGACAGCCGAGTACACCACTTCCCACGGCACCGAGTGCCTCTTCGGATACAATGGTTCGTTTAGCTCTCAGTGGGAACTACCAAGCTGGTGCATGCAAGGGCGTGGACTCAACTACCGCACGACGACCGCCGACCTGTACACCACCACCTACGGCACGGAGTGCAGCTACTTCGACTTCTGAGGCTTACGCCACCCGCTCCAGACCCGTACTTCCTGCTCGAGATAGGCTCGAGAGGAAGAAATCAGCTGTTTTTGATGTTCGGGGATCCTGGTCTCAGACTCCCCCGAGTAGACCTCCCCCCTCTGCGCCCGCTCGTAGTTCCTCTGCTATTGCCCCCACGCTGCCCTCTCACCCCTCTCGCTCCCCCCCAGAAGCGCGCACCACCCTCCTCACCACTCGGGGAAGGGGGCGAAACCGAGGGCCCCAGGGGAAAACTCGGGGTCGGGGTCGCCACCCTCGGTGAGCTGGTCTGTGTGTGTGCCGCTTCCGTGTGCCGCACTGCTCACATTCATGTGCTGCGCGGTGCCAATATGAGACGCCAAATCGGCGAGCACTGTCTAGGTTCTCAGCGTATTTCAACTAATACCTGATGTTTGGAACTGTGGACATTTTGGTGTGAGTGAGTGAGTGAGTGAATGAATGAATGACTGTACGTATGAACGTCTGTATGTATGTTACGTACGTACATATGTATGTATGCAGGCATACTTCTTACTCTCTTGGCTTAAAGGGCCGGGCAGTGGGAACCGGCCCGGGCGGTTCCCCCAGTATCCGCCCCGCGGTTCCCCCAGTTACGTCCCCTTGGCCTAGCGCTGCTTATCTCATATTAGCTTAGCCCTATTTCATCTTAGCTTAGCTTAGCTTCATCTTAGCTCAGGTTTATCTTAGCTTAGCTTACCTTCATCTTAGCTTCGCTGAGCTTTAGCATAGCAGAGCACAGCATAGCGCAGCATAGCATAGCATGGCGCAGCATAGCATTTCATAGCATAGCATAGCATAGCATAGCATAGCGCAGCTTAGCATAACATAGCATAGCATAGCACAGCGCAGCATGACCTAGCATAGCTTAGCATAACATAACATAGCATAGCGCAGCATAGCATAGCATAGCATAGCGCAGCATAGCATGGCATAGCATAGCATAGCATAGCAACTAATGCTGCTTTCCTAGGGGCTCCAACTTCTAGGTAGGGTCGCACTGGGGTAATGTATACATACATGTGTATAGATATGTATGTATACTTATATATATATATACATGCCAAAGTGCCCGAGGCGGAGCGTCATCAGGTCCCTTTGACTTCTCTGCGTTGAGCTGGGGGGCCCGCAGTCCAGAGTTACCGGCGCGGTCAAGCGCTCTCGGGCGTCCCTGGGGGTCAGAGGGCCCCGAGACAGGCCAAGAGGGATCCCCGAGACATCCAAGATGGCCTCAAAACTGCACAAGGGGCCGCCAGTGCTCTCCAAGAGGGCTTCAAGAGGCGCCCCGAGAGACCCAAATCGTTTATGTTCCATGTCTTCGCCACATTTTGGAATTCTCGCCTTTTCGGGTTTTTGACGCTCTAAGACGGCCCCATTGGCCCTCAAAATCGTCCCAGGACGGCCGAATAAGAGGGCCCACAGCCAGCCCGAGGGCCCAAGAGGGCCCCACGAGGCGCTCAAGAGGGCCCAAGGGGAGAGCACGAACCAACATGTCGAGCCCTCCACCCCAAGATGACCCCCGAGACCGCCAGCAGCGCAACCTCTGTGCCACCACAACATGTGCACGAGCAGAGTTCATCAATCGTACCACTACAGCACTACTACAACACTGGTAGGGGAAGTGTGCACGCCAGGGAAGAACCCAGTTGGACAGGAAAACCCTCAGTTCGCGAGTGAACCATAGCTTCCCTATCAAAAGAAGGCTGGGTGTGTGTGTGTGTGTTCTGTCCCATCTGCCTCCTGCTGACCATGCTGCTACGAGACAGACACGTCCTCGTCTTCGGTGTGTCCTCATTATGATCGCTTTCCCCCCCTCTCTCTTGCGCCAACCCCTCATCGTCATGTAGATAATTGCCTTCTACTTTCCGTCCGTGTATCGAACGCTGTGCGCTCTACTGTACGTAAGGTAGCACGTCGCTCAATCCACATTGGCCTACGGTGCACAACACAGCTGGCAGTAATAGCCGTGGTCGTAAAAGGAATAGTCGCATACACAGCGCAAGACCATTGTGATTGCGGGGTGGATAATGAAACGCCGTGCAGAACCCGCGTGGGCAATGCGGTGCACACGGGCACGTTGGCGCACGCAAGCATGATGGCGCACGCAATCACTGTGGTGTCCGCGGGCACTGCTGGCACTGTGGTGCACGGAGGCACTGAAGTGCTCACATGCACGCTGCTGGGCACACAAGCATGGTGGTGCACGAGCACTGCGCTGCGCACAAGCACTGTTTTGTAGGAGCGCAAGCACTGCTGGTGCACGAAAGCATCATGGTGCTTGCGATACGCAGCAGCGTTGTGGTGCGCAGAAGCACTGCGTGCGTGTGTGCATGCAGTTTTGTATGTTCCTCTTGTGAGACCACCACATGAAGGATCCTGGTGTAAGGCCGCCGCAAAGGGGCACCTCACCTTTCCATGAAGGACGCCGCAAACAATCCGCTTGCACCAGCGCCGCACAAGGGCTCCAGCTGTGAGCCCGTTACAACAAAACTCGTTGTGCAAGGAAGCGGCCAGCCCGCTCTGCGGCGTAGCTTCCCCTCTCTTGGTTCATACTGGCACACCAACTGTGCACTTGAAACATGAATTCTGCGTTGCTGCATCATCCCTCCGCCCGCCTTGCCAATGAGAACGGCCCCCGAAATTGTCACAATACGCAATACATAATGAGCCTTACTTCTGGTTTGTCGTATTGTTGATTTCGTCTGCCAGCCGTGCAACTTTTAGTCCGATTGCAGACTCCTTGGCAAGATTGTGGGCGATGCTTGCGTTTGGCAAGTGCCAGGTCTCTTCGGCACTGTGACGCTTGCATTCACCAAGTCAAAGGGGTGAGCATGTGATGGAGCAACAAGACAGACGGTAGATCGCAAAAGGCGGGCCGATCATATACATATACATACATGTATAAAGAGAGGGGGGAGAGAAAGAGGGAGAGAGAGAGAGAGAGTGAGGCCGATAGACAGGGCGATATATATATATAATGCATGCCTGTGTGTATGTATGTGTGTGCATGTATGTTTGGAAGTGTATACACACAGCTGTCGAGACCGTTCGAAATATGGATCGCAAGTTCGACCCGACGCCGATCGCAAACCGAGTGCTCCACCCATCCAACCCCCAATTTCACTACCACCCGAAAGGTCGTCTAAATAAACATACGCGAGTAGATGTATGCATGTGTACATATGCGTCATTAGTCAGTCACACTCCACAGCATCCGCCACCTCCTCATCATCATCACCACCCTCAGATCCTCTCTCCCACCGGCTCCCTCTTCCTTCCCGTCCTTCCGATGCCCTCCCCTCTCTGTCCTCCTCTCCGTCCCCCTCACTCCCCCCTCCTGTTCTTCCCCCCCATACTGCTTATCGCCCACTGGTATGGAGACGCTCACCGCTAACCTCTCGAGGCAGCGGGCTCCTCTTCTGGGCTGCGTGACACCGGATGAATCGAGGGGCGCGGCGCTGACGCAGGACAGATGCAGAGAGCGGTGGAGAAAGGCGTCAAGCCGACGGGGCGCCACGCGAGAGCGAAGATGACCCCCCCTTACCTGACACCCGTCAGGTGGGGCCCCTGCTGGCGCGTCCACCGTGCTGGAAGTCCGGCCCTCAAGGCCGCCAGCCGCGTTTTCGCGTCGTCGTCGGCGTGCCGTGTCGAGGAAGGGGCTTGGGAGCGTCGCTTTCGGCGGAATGCGGCGGTGGAGGAGGCGGAGGAGGAGGAGGCGGAGGCGGAGGGTGAGGCGGAGGCGGCGGAGGAGAACGAGAACGGTGCAGGGGAGGCGGAGGCGGCGGAGAGGAGAAGGCGGAGGGGTCGGGGGGAAGAAGAGGGAGAGGAAGCGAGGCCCAGGCAGTCCGCCGAGAGTGCCGGGCCGCGCCTTCGCCCTCGGCGCCCCTGGCCTGGAGCTGGCGGTGGTCACGCCCCTGGTCCTTGGCGATCGCCCAGCTCTCCTCCAAGATCTCCAGGCGCTTGGCGTACGAGGTCCTGGCCCTCTCTGTCCTCCTCCTACACCTCCTGGGTCTGGTCTGCCTGCTCATGCGCATCTCCCTCCCCCTCCTCCGTTTTCCTCCTCGTTCTCCTCCGACGGTTCCCTCCTTCTCCTCCTCCTCCTCCTCCTCAACCTCCTCCTCCTCTTCCTCCTCCTCAACCTCTCCCTCCTCCTCCTCTCCTGCTCCTCCTCCTCCTCCTCCTCCTCCTCCTCTTCCTCAACCTCTTCCTCCTCCGTCTCCTCCTTCTCTTCCTCTTCCCCTTCCTCCTCATCCTTCCTCCTCCTCCTCATCCTCCTCATCCTCCTTCTCTACCGCCGCCTCCCTCCTCCGTCTGGTCCGTCCTACCCACTGATTATCCTCCAACCTTATTTTTTAGAGGTAGCTCCACATCGTCGCGTCACAAGGCGTGTCGAAAGGGAATCTCGCCTGAGATATCCTCACCAGTGGCGGTCCAGAATATCGTATGTCCCAAAAGCTGCACAGATGGAGGGTGATCTGTCTTCAACATGTCGTTCAGCCTTTTCAGCCGCCGCAAATGTGCCTCAACGTTCCCAACTACTACACGAATGAATGGCGGCTGCATTTGAGACGAGATGTGGTTCCCGATTTAGCGCCGCGCACAACCGCCTCAACACAATCCAACACCTCACATGTTGAGGGCGGCTCATTTTCCAAAATGTTTTGTCTGCTAAGTGCGTCCTCAATGCCAATGGCCAGGACCTTTCAAGTGTACATCAGTCAGATGGGTGCGTGGCGGATCCTTTTCAAAGTTGGGTTATCGCTTGATGTTTCCTCCGTTGTTGTGGCCCGACGGGCGCGCCTGTGCAACACTTCGACGGATGGAGGGCGGCTCCCTTTTCAAAATGAGGCGCCCACTGGACACTTCCCTGACCTGCATGACCTTACCACCAAGGCGTTTCTTGCTCAAAATGGGGTATCGCCTGGATGGCAGGCCGATGGAGTGCTCCTCTTCTTTCAAGGGTGGGGGACCTTTTCGAAGCTAGCGCCCGGAGGGTTTGCGCATCCCTGGGGCGTCGGGGAACACCTCGCGTTGGCCTTGGATCTGCACGAGCTGGGGGAAAGCACTTGCCGATTTGAAAGCGACTCAGATGAAACCTGGGGCCCGCGAGACTAACCTCCAAGGGGCAGAACTTACGCCCCCGACGGTGGGTCCACGAACTGATGCACGAAGCTGCGTGAGCTCTGCCCACCGGATCCGGGGAGTGTCTCTCAGTCCCTCGGCCCCCGGTGCGATGTTAAAGTCAACAGAAGTATCCTCAGGCCTCTTCCCCGAGCGTGACATCCAACATATCACCTTAAACTGAGGGGCGTCTAATCACTGGGCGACCTTGATCCCGAGGCGCCGAGTTTGAATGAAGCGCCCCGACCGCGATCGAATCGATCTCGGGCACGTTCGCTGGCAATGGAATTAATCTGCTCGCCAGAAACTTGCCCCTCGTCGAACAAATATTTTGACAGTGCGTTTTGGATCCCGGGATACCGTACTCAGCGCTACCGTTGCGCGAGGTCGCGAGGGAGGAGGAGGAGGAGGAGGAAGAGGAGGAGGAGGAGGAGGAGGAGGAGGAGGAGGGGCAAGAGTATGAGGAGGAGGAGGAGGAGGAGAAGGAGAAGGAGGAGGAGGTTCACTGCCCATTAAAGGAAGAATCAGGGAGAGAGAGAGAGAGACGGAAAATGGGATATGGGGTCTCCATCCGAGGTGACCTTTTTGTTCCCCGCACGATGGGCGCCATCTCGTACGGGGCCCACCGACAGGAGACCCCCCAACAAAAAACACAAACAAACCGAACTCAACATCGGCAGCAGAGAGACGGGCGCGCCTGGCCTCCACCAGGGCCACGGCCTGAGAACGATCCTCGAAACCGGCAGCTTCAAGCCTGGAAATCGAGGCGTGGGGCAGCAGCGCGCCGCGAAAAGGGTGGCAGACGGGCTACTCTCATGGCTGTCGACATCAATCCCGAAATGCACCGACCAGCGCCCACGAGTGGCCTTGGAAAGGGTCCTGGACTCATCCAGAACCACCGACGGGTCCTGAGGGTGTATCCGTTCCCGCAGGCGCTTACGAACCGTGCAGAGCGAGCCCCCTTTGAGCCTCTTTGGACCTCCACAAGGCTTGCAGAGGCCATTCTTCTTCGTGTCCACCGCAAGATGGTAGCCAGTCGTGCAAAACAGGGGAGGATCTTTGCCTGGAACCCCTGTTTCAAAAATCGAGTGGCCCTACAGAGCACATGGCCTGAGCTCTCTGAGCTCCAAACGCTCATCTTCCAAAACCTCGGCATCACCGGCGTCTCCAGCCTCCTGGACACCCTCGGCCTCCACACTCCCACCCGCCGTGGCAGCAGCAACGGCAGCAGGAAGGTCAGTAGAATGAGAGGACGGTGGGGCGAGGGGTGGAAGTGGGGCCTCGGCGTATACACGGTAGGCCTCGTCGATATGGGAGGGAGCACAGCTGTCGGCAATCGTGCCGAAGTCGATCCATCTGATGGTCTCTAGCCCCTGATTGTCTTGCATGTCCAGGTCAACCATCCTGGTGGCTAGACTGGCACTGAACTTAGCCGCCTGGGACGCAACTTCCAAGCAACCCTCGAAAGAAACAGCACATATCCTTCCGACGCGGCTCCGAAACTGGCCCCTAGCTTAGCATAGTGATCCGCCTGCTGGTTTCCTTCGAGCTCAAGCTGCAACAACAGCCCATCCCGCCCCTGTCGCATACTGCAATGGCTTTTCACATGCGAGGAGCGCCTTTGACTAAAATCTTCTCTCGCGTGCACACGGCGCCACATGTGGGCGCGCGGGTTGGCCACCGAGATGGCTCTCAGCTGGCAGGTGCAGCAGGAAAAGGGTGGCTTCGCAATCAACAAAAACGCTGAACGACCAGAAGACGTGCTGAGCTAGCACCATCACAGCATATTCCTCGCCGTCACGAGCCGAGAACGAGGTCGAGAACAGGAGAAGCATGATCTTGCAAACCCACCACGCTGCCGCATCCTACCCTCAACTGCCGGCGCCACTCATTGAGGACAAGACCATTACGCCAATACAACGTATGTATTCGACATGATGTTTAAGAACACAGGCCAGCCATGTTAATGCGCTAGCCTACAACTCACTTCGCAACATGCACCAATTTTACAGTGCCTAGGGCCTTGCCTTTAGCCTTACTCAAAGCTACCCTTGGTGCTCCCCAAGGGTCGAGCGTACCAATTATCTACCTTCCTCCAACTAGCTCCACTTATCATAACACTTCCCCTGACCAAGGTACGGTGACGGTGCGCCCCCACTGAGGAATCGAGGAGCGGGCCTACAGCTGGCAAACAGACTAGGGGACATGTTCCCAAAACCCTACTACATGTTGACAGCGCCAGCCTCGCAGCAGCTGGGACGGACGAGGGTCAGAGGAGGATCCACCAGCTAGGGGAAGGAGGATGAGCACACACGGCGGCAGCAATGGACAGCCAGTACCGCCTGTGTCAACCTTTCGTTAGGTTACTTTAGTTCACACCCGCGCAGCCACCAGCATGATTGACATACAACTGTATGGTGTGAGTCCTACCCTTTCAGTTCCACACTCACGCCAGCCTGCACGAGCAGAGCCAGCCCAGAAATACGAATACAGCCCGACACTGTCGACTTACCTGCTGCATTATGTCTCGGATAGTGGGTTGGGGGACCAGGGGGTAGCAGGAGGAAGGGGAGTCGACATCTGGTCATTTTGGCATTCGGCGGAGGGGCGCCAGCCTGACTGTAGCCCGCCCTACTGATGTCGGCTATCCTATCTCATCTTTATTTGAAACTTTACTGCCTCAGGTCAAGCAGCCCAGCCGCCCTTCTACATCTAAATAGCTCATTTGATTGAATACCCGCAGCCATTATCGACAGGCCAGCCTACATATTGCGCTAGCATGTGCTGCCCACCTTTGCCCCATTCATTTCAAGCCCTGCTACCGCGCCAGCCTACAGACACTGGGGAAGTGAAGGGTGGGATGGAGGGGCGGTGGGACGGGTGAAATGCCAACTGCGTCAGCCTTATGAGCTTACAGCTTCCTGATTTACCCCAGGGGCCCAAGACAACAGGGATCAACGTCGAACACTAAGCCAGCACGTCTTCCTTTGTTTAGGATTTAGTTTGCACGTGCATATTGATATCTCTTGATGGGCTCCATCCTTATATGTTCTTTTCATATATTTGCTATGGTTACGTTTCCCTCTATTATCACCGGCTGCCTGTTTAGTTGCTCCGCGCCGTCTGGGCACCAATTATTCTACCATTCCTTCTGGCCCTACTTGCGCCCTTACTGGCAGCAACCTTAAGTTGTGCGGCCCGTTGCCAAGTCGGACTTCATCGCACGAACGGTGCAGGCCAGCACCTTGAGTTCGCCCAACGTAAAAAAGGAGGAAGAGGAGGAGGAAGAGAAGCAGAATGAGAGTCAAGTGTGGGGGGGAGAATCGCGGGTCCTGACGTAGATGTTCGCGCCGCCGGCGTAGTCGAGGAGCGCTGCAAGGCCGTCCCGAGCCCGCTGGGAGAGCGCGCCCTCCAGCTGCTGGGCCACCAGGTCCACGACACAGTCCCTGAGGACCGCCACCCTCGGCGGCGTGACCACCTGCGAGAGAAGAACGCACAGTCGGGGCGTTGACCTAAGGAACCCTAAAGAAGGAACGAGGCCGCTTTTTCCATATAAGCTAAGCTTCGATGGCCCAGCGAATACGGAAGGAAAACCTGAAGCGAACTGTAAAACTATCAAGAAACACCGAGCCCCTCCCAAACGAAACGAGTTCCTTCTTCAGCGCCCCGACTGTAGACCAGGAGGAAACAAAAGGAGGTAGAAGCGGACGGCAACCACGACGGGAAAGACGCGTGTTTTCTGCCAGAGGCTCTGCAAGTGCGGGCTGCCTGGCTCGGAGACTCCATCCAGGCGAAAATGCATGAAAATGCGGCCCTGGCCCACTATTAAACGAAAGCGCACTCGATGGCTCTGGGCGAGCTGGTGCGCCTCAAAGGGCCAACCAGACATCCAGGCCAGCTTCCCCGCGCCAGCGCTGGAGAGGCAAGGGCCCCCCATTGGGGAAACTACAAGGTACCGATGCCGCTACTCCCCGGACCTCTCCTGGGGTGCGTTCTGACCAGAATTTCGAGGCGAATCCAGCGGTGGCGACGAGGTCTCCCAGGAGGCCCAAAATGGGTAAAACGGGCGAAGGGTAGAGGTATGGGTACCTTTTCCTCGTCTGACCCATGGGACAGACGTCGAGCAACAAACCGCGGCATAAACCACAACTGCCAGAGGTCCGCGCGGATTTCTTGGACTCGCGCTGGACCGCCCTCCCCGGTGCCGCCAGGGGGCTCCTCCCCCGAACGCGCGCGGAGCGCGCCGGGAGGCGGCGCCGGAGGCGCCACCAGGGAGCCCAGCGCCGACCCAAGAAGTCCGCGCGGAACTCCGAGAGCTGATGCGTGCGCCGTTCCCTGAGATCCGACGATGCGCAAACATTGCAACATCGCGAAGAATCATGCCCAGAGACCCGGACCACATCTTCCCGCATCATTTTTCGAGCCGATTTGTGAGGGTCCCAGGGCCCGAGCCTGGGCGAAAACGCCCGTTGTGAAAAAAATGCAACGCCAGGATCTCAAGGTTTGTTCTCTCTTCGAACTATGCATCGGCTTCTCCTCCGCCGCTGCGGCGCCAAAGCAGCACCCGGAGCGCGCGCGAGCAAGGCGCAGGGAGCGCCGCGCCGTGGCGAAGGGCCGCGAGCGCACCGCGCATGCGGCTGCCTCGTCTTTACTTGCCCTTCTCCAGGTACCTCTCGGCCTTCGTGAGGAGCTCGTAGTACCGCTGCTGGCGCTTCTTTGGGAAGGGGAACTTCGGGCCGTAGGACACGATGCTCGAGGGGCAAAACATGGCATCAAGACACACTCTCGGAAGTCCGCGCGTGCTTCTCGGATCGGTGCTTCCCTGGGAAACAGATCCAGGCCAACATAATACGTTTGGATTCGATTGCGCCCTGGTCCAGGCGGGACCCCTCCGTATGTATCATGCCCAGGAACAGGAAGTATATATGTGAATGATAGATGCGCGATCCAGGCCTTGACGAGGTGAATATATTTTCAGCCATGTCGAACGAGTAGGGCGGGATCTAAAAAACAATCGGAACGCGCAATACGTCCGTATGATATTTCCAGGTATAGACGCCGCTGCAGCGTATCTCATAATATCGTGGTCGGCGACCCAACACCAGCGTCAGCATCGCCATAGTTTATGATATATGCGTGGCTCCGAGCCTGCACCATAGATCGTTTTCACCATCGCCATCTATATCTACATACGTGTTACCACTGCAGTGGTCTGCAAGTTACCACCAGTCTGCAAGCCACCACAGTAGTTTATAGTGGTAAGTGAGCATAGCGGAGAGGAGAGGGACAGACTGGAAAGAGAAACGAAGCGCCAGGAGGAGGACGATGAACCTTGAGGGGGGAAAGACAATCAAGAGGAGGAGGCCTCACATAAATCCATGTTCCTTCTCCTCCTCATCCTACTTGTCCTCGTACACGTCCACCCTGTTCCGTCCCTTCCTTCTTGTGGTTTCTCCTCCGCTTCCCTCCTCCTTGTCCTCCTCGTCATCCTCGTCGCGCTCCTCGTCCTACTCGTTGTTATCCTGCTCATGGAGGAGTGGAGGCGCCGCAACTAAACGTATCCACTTGTTGCAAGTGAGCTGTCGCGCTACGTACACCCATAGCGCCGTATCTAAACGTACCTAAACATATCTGCTGGTATCAAGAAACGCTCTGTATCGAACACCCCATATCTAACAATCCCAAGGCTTACGGCGCTCATATCCAAACATATCTAAACATGCATCTAAACGTGCATGTTTGTATCAACACGTATCTAGAATCTAGCATCGAACAATACCTATTCCTATCCACTTTTGCTGGCAAGAGAGCGCGAACACACGATGCCAGCAACACTCGCCTTAGATATCTCTTCGGGCGCCGGGGGGGGGGGGGGGCCCAGCCCCGATCCAAGAAATCCGCGCAGACCTCCAAAAGTTCCTCTTCATGTCATTGTTCGTTCCTCGACATGTGGGATGCCATGGTGTTGATGGCGGAGTATAGGGTGTAGTAGCTCTGCCTGCCCACAGACATCTCCTGCCGGCGGTAGAGCGCGAGCCAGTCGTCCATCTCCTCCTTGATGCGCTTCTGCCACCTCTGACTACCTACCAGACCACCCCAACCCAACCCGAAGGCCCGAATTTCGGGTTGGGGGGGGTAAGGGTTCCATACGTGTTTTTTCGACGTTCCCCGACCCCCCCCCACTGGAAATGGAGGGCAAATTGAGGCCTTCGGGTTGGGTTGGGGTGGTCTGGTAGGTGGTGAACCTCTCCATCCGCGGGGTGCCCTTGTCCAGCGACCCGGAGATCTTCATGTGCTTCAGCAGCTGGTACGTGTCCTCCCGGTACGACTTCTTGATGTAGAACTCCTTCTCGTCCTCCTTGCGGCTGTCTGGGTTGACGCCAACGAGGTCGAAGGGGTCCTCCTTGATCCGGTCAGGGATGTCCACCTGGCCAGCTCCAGAAACCCTGAATCCAATGAACCCGGCGCGACCCCAATGAGGGGAGAGTTTCCTATTGCATGGGCGCAGTGCTTGGCATTGCCCTGCATTGCTTGGCAGTACTTGGCGTTGTCTGGCATTGCTTGGCATTGCTTGGCGTTGCTTGGCATTCCTTGGCATTGCGTGGCATTGCTTGGCATGGCATTGTTTCGCATTGCTTGGCATTTCTTGGCATTCGCTTGGCATTTGCTTGGCATTGCTTGGCATTGCTTGGCACTTCTTGGCACTGCTTGGCACGAGGCACCGGGGGCAGGGAACCCGGGGAACGTCCGGGCAACGGGCAACGTAAGAATACGAGGCACCAACCTTGAACCAAGTAAGAACCCCACAGGCAAGCCTCATTGGGGAAAAACGCTGACGTCCTCGCTTCTGATTCCGCCAGCTTCTACCGGCGGACCCAGCGCCGCTCAGCTTCCGCAAGGGCTTCCGCCAGCAAATTCGAGGTGTGCCGAATGTGAGGCCCTTCCCAGCGCTCCGACGTCGTGGTTTTTGTCACTCGGCGGCCAGCGAGGGGAGGAAATGAGAAGGAGAAAGCCTTCTCAGAAGGCTTCCAGACTTCTCAGAAGCCCTCGCGCCTTCTGAGAAGTTTTTGCTTGTCTTCGGGGAAGGCTTAGAAAACTTCTCAGAAGGTCGGGGGACTTCCCAACCTTCTGAGAAGGTCTTGTCCTTCTCACTTTCCCCCTTTGCTCACCGCCGAGTCACAACTTGGACCTCCGGAGGTCTCGACCCCTTCCGTGGGACCAGCTTTTCCTCCCGGGCCGTTTTTCAACGGTCTGGGGGCCCCTTGGAGGGGCCGAAGGTAGCAGAGAAGCCGTCCGCCGTGTTTCTCTTTCTCGGGGCGCGAGGGGGTCGGGGCTTCCAGAGCGCCCTGCGCGGCCACGTGCAGAGTGACCCTGGGTTTATGTTGTTTTCAACGCAGTTAAGGACCACATCCCAGAAATAATTTCGAGCACCCAGAAAGGTACCGAATCAGTGTCGAACGACTATCGCCTCCCAGGGCCCGACGCGGGAAAAACCTCAAGTTTCGGTACTTTCCTGGTGCTCGAAATTCTGTCTGGTGGTCATGGCTAAAATAAGCTGGGACATCATAGCCCTGGGCAAGGATCACCTTTGGGTTAAGTCGGGCATGTCCTCCTACAGGCTGATTGAGGAGGACAAATGCGAATAGTCAGAACTACTCAAAACTAGTCCATAAATCATAGAAAATCACCCCCAGACTTTTTAAACAAACTATATTTGAGTACTCCTCCTGTAGAGGGACACGCCCGCCTTAAGCCGAGCGCTGCGTGCGGCGATGCCACAGTGGTGGCCCGCGTGCTCGGGTCAGGCCGCCCCGCGCCCCCAGGAGGTCGCGCACCACAAGCTCTTCCGGCGAAAGGTCACTCTTTTACGAATGGTCGACGACCTGCACTGGGTACGGCAGGTTCGTGCGGCGTCGGCGCGCGCAAAAGTTCCTGACACCGCTTCGATCGCTCAACCTTGAACCGATCGCGGCCCCCATCGTTCAAGGTTGAATTCCGTGGGGTCCAGCGGCGTCACCGTGTCCCTCGGCGTTTCCGCGTCGCAGAATTCAGCCTTGAACGCCATCGCTGGCTTCGCCAACGCGCCAACGCCGCAGGAACCTACCGTATATGGGTGAATGGGGAAGGAGACGGACAAAACCAAAAGGCCTTGAGATCCTGCCCATGCAATTTTTTCACAAGCGGAGTTTTCGCTCAATTTCACGTCCGGGGACCCTCACAAATCGATCGGGCTCGAAAAACGCTGCAAAAAGATGCGGTCCAAAGCTGCAGTCGTGATTTCCTGCGGTGTTGCAATTTGTTACAACATCGGATCTCAGGGGGCACCGTTATCGCTACTCCCCAAACCTCTCCAGGGGTGCGTTGTCCAAAAATTCGAAGCGAATCCGACGGTATAACGACGAGAGCCGCCCAGGAGGCCCAAGAAGGCGAAAACGAGGGAATGGTAGCGGTATCGGTATAGCGCGGCAGCTGAAATCA